TTTTTTTTTTTTTTTTTTTTTTTGCTTATTGACATTTTCAATCATACATTTTTACAATAAAATATTCTTCGCACAAATCCAAATTTTTTCCCTACTTTTTAACCACACATTCTCCAAAAATTACTATTCAAAAATTCATTTTTTTCACAAAAAATAAAATTAAGTCAAATAGTGGTCAAATTTGGGCTCGCACAAAACGGGGTTTCTTGAATAATTTTGAATTGACCAAGAAGATTACCTAAACAGCCTATTATTAGCAAGAAAACTATCTGAATTGAGAGAGAGACATGGTGTATAGGCTGATGAAAGTGGACATGAAGCCTGGGGTCGGGGCACTAAGATAGCCATTCATTAGAACAATTAAAGTTGATTCAAATAGTTTTAAGCATATATGCATCTACTTGATAATCAGCAGAAGACATCAAAAATTGTTAAATAAGAAACACTGCAAAAGAAGGCTTTACAGTTTAACTGTCTACTAAGCCACACTGTCTACAAATTCAAAAAGGCTGACAAATGATCATACGACAATATTTACTGCCCAGTTCAATATTCCCAACTGAGACTCGGTTTCAGCGCACAAAACATACTCGAGCCTTTCCAAAAGATTTACAGGCTAATCATACTCTACCTATTAATTAGCAGTGTTACTATACAGCTAATGATATACCTCCTGATGATTAAGATTTCTGAAAATATATACTCCGAAATAACAATTCAACAGACCTTCAATTTCTTCACAATTTCGTCTTCATGCCTTGCCACAGAGCAACCTTTCCCTTTAACATTGATTTCTTTTCTTTCTCGTTTACCTGCCCACTTGATATTGCCAAAGCCTTTGCTTGATGAAGAATCACAGTATCTAACCATGTTTGTAGCGCCGGCATATATGGCAATTTCCTTTTTCAGGCCTGAAAGGATCTTTTTCTCAACTAAAGAAAACTTCCCGCAGCATTCATCCATCATTGCTGTGTCTTTCAGCTTCTGAATTACAACATTTTCATCTTGGCTAGTGCTGTCTGTTTGTTTCTGCGTGGCATGAGAGCAAATAGTGACTTTTCTGCTGGATATAATTGAGTTTTCCCTCGAACTGGAATTAATAAAAAAGCTACGTAAATGATAACAAGAGGACAAAGTGGAAACTGCAGCAGTACGAGTTAAAACAAATGTCAACCATAATTGGTACCAGAGTGACGGTGACCTTATAAACATAGTGTATCCAAGTAGCCTAACACAACATAGAAGTTGCAGAGAAAGCATACTTGCACATCACATAAAACAATGATAACCAAAATGACCAGAGGTCACTACTTGTAATGCTCACATTTTGCAACATGAACCCCGACAAAATCTCAAAATTTATAAAGGATGAAGACAGTACACAACAAAAATGACTCAGAAGAGCAGGCAGCAACCGTCAGTGGTGAAACCTCCAACTTCCTTTCGATTAGGCAAGTGAGACTCATAATTCATCTTTTGTTTGCTCTTTTCTCTTCTTTTTTGATTATATAACTTGTTTTGCCGGTGGGGCAGTTGTTTGCATGTAGCAAGGGATAATACAACCCCTCTTTAGGTCCCTTAGTTATGAAGTCAGTCACAATGATGTGGGTATCTTCCCGTTCCAATCCCTTCTGTCAAAACCCCATATATTACTGATGTGAACTGTCACAAATTCTAAAGGTAAGTTTATGCAAATTATACTAGAGGAGACTGAATGAAAACTATGGGTTTACTCTTTTTCTTATTCAGAATACAAACAGGGGCAAGAATTTCTTCAGTTGATCCAGATTGAAACAGCTATCGTGATACTTTAGTGCTATCACCATTAATAATTTGATATTTATTTCAATACCTTTTTGGTTTATCAATGTAACTCTTTTTTATTGATTTTGAATTTTGGAGGAGGAATCTTTTTAGTACGAGGAGAGTAGCTGTTGTACTTTGTACCACTAGCGGAAACAAAATAAATAAATTTTCGTGTTAAAGATTGCATATAGCAGCATGAAGTTCCTCCAATTTTTCACACGTTATGTCGATTCTTTTACAAAATATTTAAATAATATAAATTTTTCCTAGTTTTTTATTCCAAATAAATCAGGCTTGTCATGCCTTTGATGTGTTGAGGGCATGTAGGCTGCAAGATACATGGGAAACCAGCAAGCCGAAGCATACATGGGAAACAAGCAAACTGGAAGAGTAATCAGTGTATAGTGCACAACTATCCTTCACATGCTTTAAGGTCATTAATCATAGATACACATTGGTTCTAGTAATGAAACCACTCTGAGTCGAATTGACAACTCAAGGTTTTTTGGAGATAATTCTAGTTGATTCTTTCCGTCAGGTTTCAGGTATTAACTATTTTTAATGACACTCCCCAGCCTACCATTTCTATTTTATGAGGGGGAGAAGGGGATCACAGCTGGATTCAGATAAAGATGGGGGAGGGAACATGATAAGTGAAAACATGGTTATGCCCTAATACTCACCTGCAAATTTACTGGGAACTCAATGCTGGTAAATGGACAGCCACATCCATCACTGAAATTAACCTTCAGAACCATTTTAAAAGGTCTTGATTTGAGCATTTCCCTGCAGCACCAAAGAAAGCAGGAAGGGCTTAGAACAGGAAGATTATAAGAAAATGAGGAAATTGAACCAAAATATAGGATACCTCTTCTGCAATTAAATCTTACTCCTGTAAATAATCATAAATATGTGAGCAACATTTAAATGACAAAACTTACCATAACTGACAGTGCAGTATGTTTCTTATCCCAAATATTCTAAGACCCAGGGTTCACATTTCAGATTTTCTTCTCCACTATTAGCATGGATCTTGGCATCTCACATAACAAGTCCTCTTTCAAGGACTTAAATTGAGTGGGTAATGATGAAATAAACCAGTAAAATGGTCTCCCAATCCAATAAAGTTTTCTTTTATGGGACATCAGGTTGTCGTAGATTGTAATTTATGTAAGCCCATTTTGATGTGCATCTGAATATTGTGACTCATCCTCCAACTCACAAAATATGAAGAACTCTCACCTACTATTGATTTCTACATATCACGTTTAAGCTCATTTCTGGACAGAAGCAATTCATCTTTGTAGTTGTTAATGGTCAGGTCCACTTTAACGAACTTCATACTGATGAAGGTGAAGTACAACAGAATTTTCATTGGCCTAGAACAACTTAGAGATGAAGCGTCACTCTACCCAGATGTATATTTAGGAGTCTTAAGTTACTCATGTCTTACCAATGGCAATATGCCAACCATGCCAGTCGTATAACTAATTTTTTTAACAGGATTTAGTAAGACAACCTCCTAACACCTTCTTTTACTTGCACTAAAAGGGATCGCCTTGTCAGTTGGAATAACATCATAAAAGCTTGTTCGCTATTTAGACGAGTAGTAGTAGAATTACTAGGCAAATGCTGTTGAGACTTGCGAAGGACGAAGGTAGATTGTGCAGACAGGACATTAACATTAAGCGCCTGTTTGGTTTTGCTAAAAGTTAGATTTTGATTACAGTCGATGAAATGCGTGGTTAAAAAGTTGACAAAAGTTGTGAATCTCATAAGTAGTTAAATTTAATTGTTGACTTTGACTTAAATTTTTATCAACTTTTTTAGCTAAACCAAAAAGGGGCCAAATATGACTTGGAAGAGAGAAGGTAGACATCATCTAGGATTTCACTCATAGAGTGGTTGTTTGGAGGAATAGAATGAAGGGATGGGACAACTTTGTCAGACACTTTGATTGCCAGATAGGGGATGGCAGAAAGCATAAACTCAGGCATGACACCTGGTATGATGACAAAAGAGCCTAAGATGAGTTCCAACCCCTATGTGATTGCTAAAAAAAGAGGATGGAATGTGTGACGCCAAGTAAATAAGATATTGAAGGGGGGATATAGAATACAAATCTCAGTAGCATTTTTCAGGACTGGGAAATGGGCAATGGGGGTGAAATTGCTGTAGAAGATGTGAGCATAGGCTAAAGGAAAAAATATGAAGGATGGGAAGAGGTAGAGCAGAGGGAATAATTATATGTTTTCTGCCGAATCCTTCTTTCAATTCACAGAGAATCGAATGAAGAGTTACCATGGAAATGAATAATAGAGGACCAAGAAACTGAGAAAGAACTGACTTCTTGGCATAGGAGGCAGCTCAAATAAACATTCTAAAGGAGATAACTGTTCGCTCTTTTTTGTAGTGAACTTCTTTGAAAACTTTCTTCTTTTTTCAACAACTTCTGTTTATGGTAAAAGGAAAAAGAAATAAAGTTGAATGACCTGTGTTATAACTGTAACAGTGCTTTGGCTATGAGGAAGTACCTTTTTAGTAAGAATGGTTGCTTCTCCAGTGTAGCTGATTTTAGTTCTGGCCTTTCAGGGAAGGTAACCTGCATAATGAAACAAAGTGGACAGACTAGTTTCAGCTCAATCCGAATTAATCGGCCAAATAATTTCAGAAATAAACATGGCCCCGCTGTAGGATAAAACAAGATGAGTAATCACAATCAACAACATTATCTCGAATTAACACTGATAAAACGGCATGAGGACTAAATTGGAAGGATGTATTTTCAACCGATAACATATGAATGGCAATACCTCAACTGATTTAATGAACGGCAATGGAGCTCTTTCTCCATGTACACTAGTTACCCTTAGAGACCACTTCGCATATTTTTTCTCTGCAAAGGCATCACAAAATCCAAATAGTTAAGAGCACTTGATCAATGTCCACTTCGAAGCAAGCAAGGAATTCTCAAGAACGGCAATACAGGGAACTTGGAAGTGCACGAAGGTCTAAAGTATGAATAGTCAATCTTTCAAAAATCCTAAAAATACCAGGCATATTGTATGAGTCTCAAGTATTACGATATGATGAGCATAAACTAATCACTAATAATCTCCAGAAAATATTTAGAACATAATATATAAACAATGAAAGCAAGTACAGGATTATGGCTTCAACATAAAACTACACACTGAACATACTTGTTGAATGGATGACCGTCACCTGGATGAAAGTTAAAAGTACAAAACTAATCATTGTGATATTGTTTATAGAAGAACTTTATTAATAGAATGAAGTAATTACAATGGTATCTCTCGTTCTTCACATAGCTAGTTTATAAATTATTGAGCCAGATAATCTAAAAGCTTAAGCTGGCAGAAGGCACATGTACATCATTTATATATTATCTTCACCACAAATATTTTCATTGGAGGATAGAAGAAATATTACACAATATGTATATAATAAGCAGCTAAAAATAGATGCAATGAATGATCCTTATTGGTAGTATAGGTGTAAGGCATCTAGGGTATTCTATGTATTGCTAAGCATTGGTGGAAACAAGTGGGAATTAGAAGTTCTAGAGCTTATTTGCACTCTGATTAACGATCACTTCCAAACTACATGAGCCTTTTACAATAATTAATGATCAGGAGGCATGTGACGAGAAAAAAGGGGAAAATGAATAATGTAGGACTGCCATTCTCCCTTCACTCTTACTGTAGTGTGAAAATCAATCTCTCTCTTAACAACCATCATAGTTTCCACTGGCCAATACTCCATATCTATCTCACCCTTCAAATACAGCTCAGCACAAGCACCTACTTTACTTTCTGTACACCGTCACAATCTTTATACCAAAGCCTTGCCCTTTACAAAACCTTTTTCCCTTCACTGTGATCATGACATTGATGTGCATTGTGCACAAAACCATGCACTCCACCACATTGACATAGATAGTGAGTGCTACAGAGAGAGGGCCTTCTGTTCAGTTTCAACATTACTCAATCAACCTCCGGTCCAAATTAATTTCACTAGTTTATAAACCCCTCATAGAGCAAAATGATTTAGCCAGTCAACGGAAACCTTCCTCCCCACTCCCTCACTTGTTTCCTTTCAAAGCAATTGCAAATAAAGCATTATCAGAAACAGAAATGTCTGTGTCTTGAAGCATAGTTTGTCGTGCAACGTGTCTTCACTAACTTCACCAACTCAGAAAATTGTAACTTCTAATATCATAGCATGGTAAGAAATGATGGGAACTGGATAGAACTCTCAAATATCGATTAGGATTGTGGACGTGATGTGGATAGGATTTTCAGTTTTTTGGTGTTGGAAACACATGGTGGCTCTATAGCACGGACACTTCAATTAGGGTAGCGCGTCCGTGTCCGACACGTGTCGGAAACGAGTCAATACCAACACTTCTCGGACACTCACCGTAATCATTTTTCTTTTTATATTAAAAATATTATAGATTGTTAATTCAAAATTATTAGCAAGTAATAAATAAGTACTCATATTTAAAAGATTTCAAGAAGAGATTTCAAGAAGAAAAATTAATAACAAGTATAAAACTAAATTTATACTATATAAATGAAGAATTTTTAAGAATGTAAATGACGTGTCGTGTCAGTACTTTTTTTGAAAATCGCGTGTCGATGAATCTGACACGGATCGTGTCGGACACACGTGTCTTTTGACGTTTTAACATGATTGTTTTTTTTCTTTTATTAAAAATGTTACATATTTTTAGCTCAAATTTATTAGTAAATAACAAATAGATTCTCTTTCTTAAAAGATTTCAACAAGAAAAATTAATATCAAGTATAAAACTAAATTTATACTATATAAATAAAGAATTTTTAAGAATTTAATCAACGTGTCGATAACGTGTCATGTCTGTACTTTTCTAAAAATCGCGTGTCGACGAATCCGACACGTATCGTGTTGGACACACTTGTCTGTATCGGTGCATCATAGCCTGGTGGATACACAGATAACGGTTTAGGAGGCAAAATTGGTGGTTGGTGATGGGTGGGAGTGATGGAGTACGGAGAAAGATAGAATACAATTAGAAGTTAGATAGGATTTGAAATAAGAGTTCAATTTATATTAGGATTGTTTAGATTAGATTCAATTATGTTTAACATTTTTATATAGTTATAGCTTATTAAAAAAAATTAGTTTTAGATTAGTTGCTTGACAACGAACAATTGAATATTAAGAAAGGAAAGATGTACAAAGAATTGAAGAATTGAGGACAAAAGAAAATATCAGTTTATTCATATAATCCATAATATGAATTAAATTCTTATTTTAAAATCATATAACTTCTAATTCTATTCTATCCGTAATCCATCGGGGAGTGATGCAAAATTTTGTTGTTCACCAGTGATGCAGGTTGTAAAGGTCAATTTGGTGGTGCTACAGTGAATTTAGAGGTAGTGTCGACCGGTGGTCATTGCAGTGGTAATAGTAATGTGCAGTTGAGTAGGTGGAGGAAGTGAGACTTTATGAAAAAGATGCTCCTAATTTAAGTAATCAAATTATTAAAACGAAAAAGTGTGTGCATTTGGAATAAGTAACTATTTTGAAATAAACTCAAATTGGAAAGCAAGACATTGAACTTGAATTGACAAGAGTACCATTTTTGAGTTGTCATGGACTTGTCATGATAGTCTAATGTGAGTTGACTCTAAAATCATCAGTGTCAGTTGAGATTTTTATCATCAACAGGTAAGCATCACCATCCCTTTCTTGGAAATGTGCTTTGACGTGCACATTGACTGTACACTGAGTATATCAAGCAGAATATAAGGCAAACAACAGCATTAAGAAGTTCGGAACCAATATCCAAACCATACCAGACATTTTCATGTCTTTCCACAGATGCATGACACAGTCATGGGATCTTCAGAACTACCTTTATTACCATAAAACAAAGTTCATTAAAAACTCCAGACTGAAATCTCTATTCATGGTCCTACTGAAAGTCTGAAACCAAATGATCTAGACCTAAATGCCCATCAAGTACCACATTAATCTGATATTCATTCTCCACAATTCAACCCAACAAAGGTTGCACTATTATAATTAATAGTCAACCCTCAATCACTGATAGTAGGCCATGTATTCACTTTGCAACCCCACTACATCAACTCAGCACCAAACTCATTGTACAAGCTCTACATCCACATCATCCAGCATAAAATTCAATTGTTTTTAATTTCATCAACAATGACAAAACCAGAGTTTTCACTGGTGTAATTTAGAGAGTGAACAGGATTGTGAGTGAGGCCTGTGCCACAATTCAAAAAAAGTCGACAATCAATGTTGCCTCAGTAAGTATGATCAGACACTTGCATAAAATCTCCCATGCTGCAACAAGCATCAAGAATATGAGGCTAAGTCTCGAAAAAAGTGATACCTGAAATGCAGCGGAATTGATAGAAAACCACCTGGAAAATATCAACTCGAATGTATGGAGGAATCTGCATATGAAGAAGCTGCATAACCCCTGCAACTACCTGCCGCTCATGTCATGTACTATCAAAGTCTAAAATGTTGTCATGCAATGGAAAACGACAACATCAAAGTCTAAAATGTTGTCATGTCATAGTTGGTTATGAAATCGATGTATGAGAACTCAGAGATAGAACAGAATGAAGATTCAACCAAAAAATTGACATGATTTTAGAATGACGACACGAGTAGACCCAATGTTGAAGCCTACGACAAATCATGAGAACATATGTTAAAAAGAATTTCCTCAAGCATTAGAAAGGTTACTCGACGTTGCATTTTCAGAGGAGAAAATAAAAACGGAGCTACCTTGTCAACAAGCCCGTGGATCACCAAATTTGCTTTCTTGTCTTTTGGAGTAGGCTGAGACCAATAGAACATGCAAATAATCAGTGAGGAAATTGAGAAAATAAACACACAGAAAACAAAACAAACTGAAAATTCAAAAAATAAATCTAGCCATTTTGCTCATCACATACTGATAAGACAGATGCACGATTGTTGTCCTAACATGTACTTGAGATGCATCATGTCAATATCACTTGTAAATGTTTGCATCAGTTAGAAATATAGTAGGAAAATTTATAGATTCAACATATAATTGGTGGCTTCCACCCAGGATTTTCATTCTTTTTATGAGGAAATTTTTATTGGTTGTAGTGCGGATTAAGGAGCAGCTCCTCCATGCTGTGGCTGTCGAGGTGGGTTTTGTGGCTGCCTGATAGAGGCAGGAGAGGGGGCCATCAAAGCTATCAGCATCAAGTGTTTAAATTGAAAGAGGAATGGAGACAATTCAAATGCCAGTGCAGAAATCGAAAGAGTCTTAAAATTTTGAATATCATAAATCATAATATGACCCAAACTAAAAATAATGCATCGTGATCCATGGATTGCAAAGAAAAAGCTTGGGCATTATAGGAACAAGCAGTTGAATCGAGCACTAAAAGCAACTACATAATCAACCATAAGCAACTACAAGCACCCACATAACCAAAATGTGACTCAATCACAGCCAATAACCAATTGAAACACAAAATTTGCCATGGCAACTAATGGCATGGAGCGAACACAAGACATAATCTTACATGTGACTCTATACCATATATTTTTGCTTCCAAAATATGTGAATGCCCTAGACCATATACAGAAGCTTAAACGTAGAACTGGAAAGTTCTCCTGGAACCAAATATGCCCTCCACCACCATCAGTACCTTCTCCTCCTCTTGTTCTCCTTTTACTCATTTTCCTCTTTATCCTTCTCTTCCTCTGTCTAAGCTTCTCTTCCTCCAAAGTTAGATCACAATTTATGGAAAATTCTTAGATATTGAAGATTGTTGAATATACAAATCTTTCCCCATTGTTATTGTAGTTTGAATATGCACTGAAATATTCTGAAGTGAGATACTTATCCAGGAAATATGTTGATATATGCTGAAAACATGTGACCAACTAAACAACCATCCAAGCCACTTCACTAATAAATGTGACCAATAAACCAAGGCAATTATTTGTCAAATAACATCTTGTAATAAACACTTGACAACATTGACTATCCGGCTAACATTGAACTTAGTAAAACAACATGGTTTGATAATCATAAAATGAGGTTATTTTGGAATAAACATTGCACGCAGAAGTTATGAATTTCTTGCTATTGATCCATCAAAATATGGTTGGTATTGTTCCAGAAGAAATGAACAAAGATATAGCAGAAGAATGACATGGATTATATGAGATGTATCCAATGCTGGGTAAAACCACATAATAAATCAATATGAATATCACGAGTTGTCCCATAACAAGTTGAGAGTGATATCTCTGTCTCTGTTTTTTTCTTCCTTAATCTGAGCTTGGAGAACGAATAGATACGAGGGACCTATGCAGAATGTGGGAAGAAGTCCAAACTTGAGATTGACTACAACGAACAAATTGATAATCTTCCAATAGGCTTGGAGCCTCGGGAATTAGTAACTATACCAAAAGTAATTGAGGGCTCATGTTGTTAACTTTCCAATATTTTCTTATCTTTTAAAGATCTCGATGAAAACTTAAGGTGACTTGCCAAAGAAAGGCGAATAGATAAAAGCATAGATGTGACAGGCATAACATCTGAAGTGATGAAGGGAAGAGGCGAGATTTCAGGGACCTACAAACCTGAAGATTGACAATTACTATCTTCCCTCCATCGCGGAGACATTTTAAAGGCAGGTTGCAAGCTGGAGTGATCTGCAAACTGTATAATGTATACTGAGATGGTTGTTCAAATAAATAAATAAATTAATGATATAAAAAGAACCAAAAAACAAAGTTCCCGCAAGAAAGGTCTTGCTGGGCAACCATATATAATGAGAGGAGAGTACAATTGTGTTCAGATAATTAGTCATTTAGTTCTAAAGCTATGCATCAAGTCCAGAAAACAAATTACTTCACAGACAGTGGCTCACTAAAGATATTTTCTGATCCTCTACTGGCTAAAGTATCAGAAATCACTCTACTATAAAAGTTTAATCTGTTAGCCTATGGGCTTCTATAATCCTATTGTACCAGGATGAAGGAAGTTCTTATAAGCAATCTCAATTATGATACTATAGTTTCCAAATCAATAGGCTGGCCAGAATATTAAACTTCAATTAGTTTATTAGCATTTCAGATGGAAATTTCCAAGGACTCTCACTCCAAACCATTCTTGTACAGCAGAAGAAAATTCAATTTACAAATTGCAGTTAATCTCTTCAGTTGTGTTCTGGAGGTACATTTTATGAAGTTGTACTGTATCTAGAACAATGACAAAAGAAATATAAAGTTATTAACTCCAGACCACCTAGTCCTGTCATCGCCAGTAGCAGTAGATAAGCAGATAATCTCCAATTAAAAGAAATAAGGACAGACCTAGTTGAGCAAAGATCATATGAGGAATATTGCCAAATGAATCCCCAGTTCAATACAATATTTCGGCGTATCACTTGCATAGAGAGATTCACACAACAAAACCAATGAGAACTGAAGCTCTAGGAGATGTGAATGTTGAAAACCAAAGTGGGCATTGAATATGAAGGAATAGATGTCCAAGATGAAGTCTGAAAGAGCCAAAATTGTTGAGAGAACTTCATTGCAATATCAGCTCAAGGCATATTGCAGTCATTGGACTAACCCTCCAAGTCAAAAAGAAGTGGTTATGCTGCTTTTCGACTGACCTTTTAAGTAAAAGAAAAAGCATTCTTCTTCCTCCAAAGGAAGAAAGGTGATTGTACATGGACTGACCTCCAGAGGAAAAAAGGTTTTTGCTTCTGCTGTGCTGGAATTCAAATGAGTCATTTGGTGGTGGATGCAGGTTTTTCATCCTAACTCTAAAAATCAGTTTGCATTGCTCCATCTTCCCTTATACTGGTAGCAGCTTATTACTTTTATTCATTTCTTACATTGATTTTGAACATAAACAAGCATCCATTAGAACTGATTTCAAATAGAAAATCAATAGGTGCACGGAACACATTGAATATTTTCCATTGTACTAGCGCTTTGATTAAAAAGGTTCCAGAAGTTAAAATCAACTAGAAATATCAAAGATTTTCCGAATCCACTCTAAATAACTAACACAGATCTTGTAGGTTCCACCACGTATCAACCGATCTTAGATGAATTAAATAAAATAAAGATGAGGTTATGATAGACATAATCACTTGAAACGTCCAAGAAGAAAATTGAGGCTTTGAGACTGACCTGGTTCCCAAACAAAGGACCACATCAGCCATACGGCAATGTTTCTCAGCGACATTCATCTCCTTTGAGGGAAGCGCATCCTGAGAGAAAAAAGTTAAGTAGATACATCATAAGTTTCATAACCAAGAAATTCATAAGAACAACATGACCTACGTCCTTTGGAAGTTCCATTTTCCCTAAAGTACTGTCTCTTCTTCATAGTAAAAAATGATACTGCTTCATAAGATCATGAAACACTGACTTTAATCTTGCCCATAACCATAAAACATCTCCTCGCGAAGATTTCAACAGCCTTTTTCACATGATCAAATCTCAGCATTTTTTTTTTTTAATAAATAAATATCTCAGATGGCCCATTGTCGAAAAATATTTACAAGTTTGAAATCACCCACCACCCACGAGTCACAGACTACGACTTCAGTCAAAATGAATATGTGAAAAACTGAAAAATTATTAGTGGAATGTGGAAGCATCATACATTAGTAGTAATTCATGGAATTAAATTATACCATCTACCGGAATCTTTTGCCCGTAAGCAAATTATTAAATGCTATTCTTAATCCACTAAACATGAATTACTTTGTACAGCATGTGATAATTTAAAAGAACATAAAAGGGCAAACTAGCTAAGTAAATGCATTGGAAATATCATCATCAATACTTGGTTGAAGCAATCAAGTACAGCATATGTCCATCATAAAAATTAATGCAAACTATTTGCGAGGAGATGGTACATCAACAAAAGACCGTTTCTGGAAGTGTAAGAATACCGGAATCTAAGGGAGAACCTTCTTGTTACCCAAAATCCATTGACAAAGAACAGAGATTATGCTAATTGGTTCATGATAAATCAAACAAGACAGAAGTCATTTTTACCTCCCAATCAAGGACAGTATCTCTAAGCTTTGAGTTACATTTCACATCAGAACAGCGTCTTGGTGTTATCTTCAACCCAATAGTCTCAACCTCAAAATCCCGCAGGTACCTTCAACACCCCCGATAGAAAAAGGCAACATTATGAAAGTTATCATTTCAAAAAACCTTGTATGTGCATGCATGACGAGAGAGAGAGAGAGAGTGTGTGTGTGTGTGTGTGTGTGAAAGAGACGGAGTAAGAGAGTGAAGAGAAATCGAACTTATTACAGATTTAAGCTTAAATGATATTAAGTTTAATTCTCACTCTGCTCCACATGAAGGGCAAATTTCCCTGAATGAGTTTCCGTGTAATTCTGCAAGCTTTTCTCTTGGTATTCCAGATCGGAGATGGAGACTATCAACATTCTAGAAACAGAATGTTTCAAAAAAATTGTTATAGTTAGTATACAGTATAAGTGACCAATTGGAATGAAAGTATTATAAAATTGACAGTAGGCAAAGACATAAGAGGAAGAGAAAATGCTGCAAGTTCCTAATGACATAATTTAACCAATTTCTACTGTGCAACTGAACCGATGGAATGAGAAACATTTAGCCAGGGTGTTCACCAGGCATGATCGTGCAATCCATTCAATAAACATGAATAAATCCCAACGGTTGGACTAAATCCCACTTCGCAAATAATTAATTACAGGCCATCTTAAACATTCACAACATAATAGTCAGATATATTTCTAAATTACAGATAGTAGCATGTAGCATTGTGGTTCTTTTATTAGACAGGGAGTATTGTCTAAATTTTTCTGAAATCCAAATAAATAGAATGAGTATGCCCCCATTGCTGTGCTTTTTAAGTTCTGCAGTTGACGAAGAACGTCTGATAAAGCCCTGATACAAGCAAGATAGACTGAAGTGGCTAACAACAAACTTCAAGATCCTCTCACTAACCTGGCTAATAACAAACTTCAAGATGCCTCTCTTTTCCAGTTCAACTAAAGCCATGTGTGTCAGACTTGGCACGGCACGATGAAATGGCAAAGATGCTTCAGGAACTCCTTTTCCTTCACGCTGCAACTCAATTAAAAAGGATTATATAATCCACCAATTATGCAATGCCTATAACAGTACAACTGTTAAACAGTAGAAAATTGCTGAGGGAGTAATAGTTTTTCGAGTTCTAGAGTGATTTTTCATTTCAAAGCGAAGGAGCGTGATATTCACCTGCAGTGTCCAAACTCCTTTTGGGCCTCGGAAATCGGGTATTCCACAAGAAGTTGAAATTCCGGCACCAGTAAATGCCACTAGATGTTTACTCTGCAACATATTTAAAATTAAAAATGATGCTGGCCTTGCATGTTTGCTTTCAAAGGGAAAAGACTAATATATAGTGAGTTAAGAGCCTTCCACCTCTTCAATCAACAATGCAAGCTGCTCAATCTGACATTGTATGACAAAAAATATGAAGTTAGCCGAATCTATCCAAATTCATAAAACCAAAAATAATATGAGAGATGTGTATAATCCAGTTACTGTTGGGAAAGTACAAAAAAAAATTCACAATTGACTAGACATGAGGTACATAATGGGTTTACAAGGGACTATGTTCCACCAGCTACTAGGTTAACAATTTGAAATGAAACCCCAATTCCCCACAAGTGGTATCAAAGGTCCCAAACGTAGCAATATTGACTATCAGGATGAATCCTTAGTCGTAGCCAAACCGAATGGAGGGTCCCAGATTCGATCCTGGTGGCCAAAAAGTTCATTGTTGGCTCCAAAACAGTTGTGCCCATACAAGGCGACTACCATTGATACAATGGAAGAGTTAGGCCTTGGAGGGTGCGATCCTTCCTGATATAAGGAATATAGATGGATCATCATCCACTAAGGTTAAGGAGGCTGAGATGATGTGGTAGCCCACAAAACACCAGCTAAACATAAGGTAGACAACGGGTTTATAAGGAGATTGAACTACTACACCAAATCCCCTAGAATTAAATTCTAAGAATAAAAAAAATATATTAAAAAAGACCATACCCAGTTCTTAAATCCATGAAAAGAAAAGTTAAATATAATAAAAGAAAATTTTCCCAAAATCAAGCACATGGTGTTTCCAGTAATGACTAATGAGCATTAATACTTGTACAATGGGAATGAATTTCTAGACAGAATAGCTAAATGTCCGTGCATGTGTGCGTATGAAGAACAGAAAATTGTCCAAAACATAAATAAAACAATAATAAAACTAAAACGAATCAAGCTAACCGACTTTTTGTTGCAAAAGGTGGTTGGGGTCGAAAATCTCAGACATGCCGACAGTGCCCACATCTTCCCTGTAAGAGAGCTTCTCTGCATAACCCAAAGACATTTTTTCACTTTTTTGGCTGGTTAACTCCAGCTAAATTAACCTATTTTACTGAATTTTCACTTGGAAATTTGTGAAACGGGAGGGGAGAGGGATTGAGAACTTTTTCGGTTTGGGTCGGGACTCTGGTATGGGAAAATGGGTAAAAATTGCTTTGCCGTGTGGTTTGGTTTAGCCCGGATTTGGTTGGATTTTTCACCTAATTAATCAAAGAGATAATTTAGCTTCATTGACACCTTTTTTTGTTTCATGCATTTTGAAATAATAAATTAATAGTCGATATATTGTTGAAAAATAAGAGAAAATTCTGAATTTACGTGTAATTTATTGAAAAATGTGTGATTGAAAAAAACGGTGTATTTTGAAAATAATTGGAATCAAACAAGGGCTTAATCAATAGTTATCGTTATAAGTTACTATTTGCTTATCAATTTTAAAAAAATTACTCGTTGCTCACTGAAATTTGTTATAGGTTACTATTTATTCCCCGAAATTTAAAAGATTACTCGTTCTTCACTCAAATTAGAACAAAGTTACTCGTTGCTCACTGAAAATTGCTACATGTAACACTGATAGAAATAATATGAGTATTTGATGAGTAACTTTATTCAAATTTGGGTGAGCAGCAAAAAATCTTTTAAATTTCGATAAGCAAATAATAATCTATAACAAAATTCAGTGAGTAAAAAGTAATTTTTTAAATTTCGATAAGCAAATAGTAAGAAATAGCAAAATTTAGTGACCATTGATTAAATTAATTCATTAATCAAACAATGTGATTTATACAAAATATTAATTTTTTATTGTATATCACTATTGAGTCTATTTTGTAGAAGAGTAATGTTATTTAGAACTCGATATATGAGTTTAGATGGTCGCACTTATATATTTAATTAAATGATGTGATATTTCATTGGTGTAAATCCACCATTTAATATCATTCAATTGTTACTTAGATCGGTACTTGATATCACTAATCTTAATTCTTAAATAGCATTATTCTATTTTGTATTCTTAGAGCATCTTAGAGCATTATTCAAAGTGGTCGAAAATCTTTCAAATGAAGAGATAATCTGCAATGTGTATATATATGTGATTTATAATTTACTCAGGTCAAATGAGAGCTTAATTGTACCTTTGATTTAAGGGGTACTTACGCAAATACCCTGTATTTTAGGGCCATTTTGACAAAAAATGATAAATTTGGATTAAATGGCAAATAGTTAAAATTGAAAGTATTTTTTACGTTCAATTTTTCAGAAACTAAAAGTAGGATTTAAAACTCAATTTTCATCTTTTACCCCAGTTTCTACACATTCTACGAAGCCACGAGAATCAAATTCCACTTCCTTACATTGAATTAGACCGCTATCTCCATTTTGACCCATGATGCCTATCTTGCCGTGATTTAAAAAAATGGTTTGTATCCGAGGTATTGGAGAAAATGAGAATGTGAAAAAAAGTGAAGTTCTACTATTTCATTAAAGCGATTAACTAAAAACATACGCATGTATTTTTGGAAATTAAATATATGAATTCAAATCTTATTTTATCTTGCATTCAATTCGTATTTCTTTGAATCAACTAGTGTACGCACGTGCAATGCACGTGTTGCAATTTAGTTGGGTATTTAATAGCGTTGAATCAAATTCCACTTCCTTACATTAAATTAGACCACTACCTCCATTTTGACCCATGATGCCTATCTTGCCGTGATTAAAAAAAATGGTTTGTATCCAAGGTATTGGAGAAAATGAGAATGTGAAAAAAAGTGAAGTTCTACTATTTCATTAAAGCAATTAACTAAAAACATACTAATGTATTTTTGGAAATTAAATATATGAATTCAAATCTTATTTTATCTTGCATTCAATTCATATTTCTTTGAATCAATTCAATCGATGTATCAATTGTATTTGTGAAAATGAGAATGAGAATGAGAAAATGTGGCATTCCGTCACTTTTCTATCAAAAAAAGTCGCAATATCTTATTAGAGCAATTAACTATATGCATATGTGTATATTTTTTTAAATTTGAATATGTGACTTCAAATATTGTTTTAATATTGCATTCAATTAAATTGTTTCTGAATAAATTCAATTGATACATCCAAAATGTTTGTGAAAATGAAAATATGAAAAAAGTGACGTTCTCTGAAAAAGTTATAGTATCTCATCGGAGCAATTACCTAGAAGTATACGTGTGTATTTTTTGAAATTTAAATATACAAATTTAGAAATTTGTTACAATCTTGCATTCAATTCATATTTCTTTTAATCAATTCAACTCATGCGTCAAATGTGTTTGCAAAAATGAAAATATGAAAAAGTGATATTCTCTCGCTTTTCTCTGAAGAAGTCGTAGTATCTCATTGAAGCAATTAACTAGAAGCATACTTGTGTATTTTTAAAAAATTATATATACAAATTTAAATCTTGTTTTAATCTTCCATTCAATTCATGGATTTTTGAATAAATTCAATTGATGCATCAAAGATATTTGCGAAAATAAGAATGTGGAAATGTGGTATCTGTTACTTTTCTATGGAAAATCGCAGTATCTCATTGGAACAATTAACAAGATGTATACATGTGTATTTTTTGAAATTTAAATATATGTATTCAAACCTTATTTTAATCTTACATTTGATTCAATTGATGCATCGAACGTGTTCACGAAAGATGAGAGTGTGGAAAAGTAAAGTTCTATCACTTTTTTCTGAAGAGTCGCAATAACTCATTGCAGAAATTAACTAGAAACATATATGTGTATTTTTGAAAATTTAAATATACGAATTCAAACATTGATGCATCCAAGGTAAAAAATCATATAAAAATATTTTGAAAGTAATAAGTACTGTATAGAATTAAATATCACTTTTTTTTTATTAAAAAGTGATGTTTATCACCTAAAAAATGACGGAAAAAATGGCAAAAATTCAAAAAGTGACAAATTCAAATGTTATGTTAGTCATATATTATTTTATATCCTCACATTTTGTACGACTAACATTTTTTTATTTATTTTTATCAATAAGTTTCACCAAAATACATAGAGGAGTGAGGTATGTGCTTGTTCGAGTTTTATAAAATGAGATTATAGTGAAGAGGAGTATTGAGTCCCATGAAATGAATAAAAAGTGGATAATCTTGGAGTCCGTTTGATTGTAAGTGAAATTTGGGTGGAAAAAAAATGAATTACAGGGAATTGAATTGCCTATAATTGTTTTTCATGAAAATTGTTCGTTAAAGTGATTTTTTTTTCTTTTTTTACAATTATCCATAGAATTTGTTTCTATTGCAAAAAAAAAAAAACCCGAATACCATTTCCCCACCAAATTGGTGGGAAAACTAATTCATTGAATTCATGGAAAAGGGGTCGGGTCGGGGGTTGGGTGGAAAATATTTTTTGTGGAAAATTTTGACTATCAAACATAACAAAAGTGAGAAATATAATTTTAATTCCATTTTTCATGGAAAAAAATGGCCTATCAAACATGCCCTTATTCTTGAAGGTTTACATTCTCGTTAGCAATAGGTTGATTCTTTCTTATTAACGTTATTTTCAAATCAAAATGATATGAAATTTACATCTTTTAACGTCTTTTGGCTCATTTTAGTAACATGAAGGATTAGAACATTTCTATATATTCATATTAGTCCTCTTGGAATTTCATCCTAAAAATAGACTGTTGAGTGAACTAATTGCTTTAACGATTGTACATCTGAAGTCAAAGGGGGCTTATGACTTTTGTGAGTAAGGCGGAATCCTTGGACTAAAAGTCCATAATTTAGTTAAAAAGTTGATAAAAATTTAAGCGAAAGTTCATAATTAATTTTAACCATACATTTCATGGAATTCACAACTTTTATCAACATATCAGCCACATGTTATTCATTAATTTTTATTAAAATCTATTAAAAAATTAATTTTTAACGGCTAAATATGAATAAAAAAGCCATTTGAATAACATCATTTGCACTCCCCCTTTGTTATTTAGAGCTTGTTTGGGAGAGATTTTTGGGGGAAGAATTAATTTTGAATAGTGATATGATGGAAAATGTGTGGTTGAAAAAGAAGAAATTATTAATGTGATGGAAAATATTATTTTATTGAAGAATGTGTGGTTGAAAATGAGAATTGATTTACTGTAGAAAAATTTAATTCATCCCAAACAGGTCTTAGTTTGTTTTATTTGCTGCGAACAAAATTCTATTTAAATGTCATAATCTCGTGTTCATGTCTTTTCATTATCTAGAATCTAAAAAGTTCAGATAACAACTTTGCCCTTTGAAAATCACTTCAAAACTTACACGCGGGCACGCGGCACAAAATACGGATATTACTAACTTATTGATTTCCACACATTAAAACTCGATATTAAATTCAAGTCTAGAAAATTCCCACACCGATTACAACATTAGATGGCATTATTTTCACACGCACAATACATTTATACTCTTCTTCTTTAAGTTTTTACCATTTTAACAAGTTGGTCTAGACTCGAGATGAACATTTAAAGCTTTAAACCTTCACCACCATTTTCATATAATTGATTTCAGGGTTAATTTTCAATCACGCGATATTAAATTAAAGTGTATTTTCACATATTCATATTATCATATATGAAAAGGCAAATGACATGAGATATAGATTAGAAAATATACTCTAAATGTTAAAGCCTAAATTGTAAAGGTCCATAATAACATATGTCTCCCCATCAATTTTTGTAGTTGATTTTAATCCAGTCCTATCAGAAATAGAAAGATTCTTCCTTATGGGCGATTTCCATCCAAAATTCCATTAAATTTCCGTAGAATGGCGATTTCCATCTTTTTTTTTCCCCCCTTTTTTGCTCATTCTTTTATTTATTATTTTTGTTTTCGCTTTCTTTTCTTTGTTGCTTTATTTTTTATTTTTTGGGTTATTTAAGTTAAAAGGTAAAATCGCCGTCTATATAAATTTAACCAGAATTTTAGATGGAATTTGTCTAAAGTGTTTTAGGACGAATATTTCTAATTTCTGAAAGGTTGGGGGTTAAAAATGGTAAAAAAGAAGAAAGTGGCTGGTATGCTACTCTATAACAGAGATTGAGGGTGAAAGCAGCAATTTACCATATATTAAATGATCAATAATAAAAACACATTATAATTTTTATATGGACCCTATTCGGTGCATATTAAAGACTTTTAGTAAAATTTGATAAAAGTTAATGAAATATGTGGTCGATAAATTGTGGATCCCCATGAAATATTTGATTAAAAGTAGATGTTGATTTTTACTTAAAATTTTAATAAATTATAATTTATACCAAACATGGGCATAGTTTATCATCCAACTTGATACGAACAACATTTATTCGATATTCTGCTTTTGATAGTTTACATGACAGAGGAAAGAGTTGTGAGCTTAACAAGGTTCCGACGTGAAATCATACCGTGTCATTTGCACTTATAAATAGGTTAATAGATATATAGCTCATGTTTGTTATAAGTTAAAATTCAGATTTTAATTTAAGTTAAGGTTAACAATTAATTTTAATCATATTTTTACGAGATCACAACTTTTTAATTACGTATTTCATCAATTTATATCAAAATTTTCAAAAAATCTGATTTTAATCCCTAACAAACAATGACATATGTTAAGATTAGAGATGGTAACGGGGTGGGGGTGCCGGCCCCACCCCGCCCAACCACTCCCCACCCCGTTCGGCCCCGCCCCACCTTAGACGGGGCGTTGCGGGTTCGGGGTACGAACTTGCCTTGTTTCCTGCCCCGTTTATTTATTTTTTTTTTCAAAAACTTCCAATTAACTATTTTTTGTTTTTAATTTGTAGTTAGTTATTTTTTTTGTTCTTCATGGGGAGGATTCGGAGCGCTTCGGGGAGGGGCACCCCCTCCCCGCCCCGCCAACCGGTCGGGGCGAGTTTTTTTGCCCCATTCGGGGCGGGCAACTAATTAACACTCAAGCATTAAATGTAATTCTCAAAAACTTGAAGAACACTAAAGAAAAATTTGAATATGATGAAAAAAATTGTGATTTCTTGTTGTTTTGGAATGATTTTTGTTCTTGAATATGGCTATGATTTTTGCATGTTTTCAACATCATTATAATGATCACAAACCACCTATATATAGCCAAGAGACATGATCATACGAAGTGGTGCCAAAAAACCCTCCAAAAATCACCAAATATTTGAACAAAACGGTCACTAATGGCTTTTTTGGCCTTCTATAAGATCGCATAGTTCAACAACATGCAACTGCATAGTTCTCTTCACGTCAGAGATTTTAGACTAAGCGACTGTAGCCAAGTTTGGCGTATGCGGTCGCATATGCCAAAATTTGGCCTCCAAAGTTGATTGACCGCATAGGCCAAAATTTGGTCTTCAAAATTGATTTTCATTCCACATTTTTTTTTTGTAATTAATTATTTTTTTTATTCTTCACGGTGCGGATTTGGGGCGCTTCGGGGCCGGGCACCCCCTCCTCGCCCCGTCCCGCCCCACCAACCCATCGGGGCGGGGCAACGCCGGGGCAGGGTGGGGCATGTTTTTTTTGCCATTACTAGTTAAGATAACAATGTACACAACTCCTAAAAAAAAAAAAGAAGAAAGAAAGAAAAAAAAAAGAATAAGGCCTTGTTTGATGTTACCTATTTTCCGTGGAACTTTCCAAGGTCCAATTTTTTTATTGTTTGATAGCTAAATTTTTCTTGACAATTGATTTTCCCTCCAACCCCTTACACACCCTATTTTCATGTTTTCATTGCCACCTTTTTTTTTTTTTTTGCAATGGAAACAATTTCTATCCCCAATTATAAATTTTTTTCCCTTTAATGGACAATTTTTATGAAAAACAAAATCAAACGAATACCAAAAGATTCAAAATTTCAACATTTTTCAGGTAAAAAATTATACCAATCTAACACAATTAATTGACAATTTTCAGGAAAACAAGTTCTAGACAATTATTTTATCTGGAATTCATTTTCTTTCCACCTATTTTTCACTCTTACAATCAAACAGACCCTAAGAATAATAAGAAAGCTATTTATTCTACCAATAAATTAAAGGATAATTGCAGAAGTGATACCAAACCTTTCGTTTAGTAGCAGACTTTGAACAAACCTTTCATCTGTGCTACCACGGTACCAAACCTTTCAAAATGTTGCAGCCGAAGTCAAAATAGATAGTTTCTAGTTTGACTGTTAGTTGACCAAATATTTGAGTTTGACAATAATTTTGACTAATTTTAAAAGGTTAAAATAGTAACGGAACATTTTTTAATAATAAAATGATCAAAATCAAATAATTAAAATTAAAAACTCATTTTTCACCTTCTTCTTCTTCTCAGTCCACCCTACCCCCCACACACCCACCCCACCCCCCCCCCCCCC